CTGGGGCTTGTTCTTCAGGTGGCCGCCGCGGGCCTTGATGGTCTCGTAGTCGTCGTCGTTGTCCTGGGAGTCCATGTTGATGACGTCCTCGATGACCTTCTCCTCCTTGTGCTTGTCGCGGATGACGATGCGGCCCCGGAGCTGCTCCGGGCCGACCTTGGCGCCGTCGACGGGCACGTAGAGCTTGGACCCCAGGATCGTGTGGAGCGTCTTGGCGATCAATTTCTGGCCCTCCTCCTTGCAGTGGTTCTCGAGCGTGACGATGACGGGATAGTCCGTCGTCACGAACGCGTTGTCGCGGATCGCCGCGATCATGTGCTTGAACTTGCACTTGGACGTCAGCGTGCCGCCGTGCGTGACGACAACGGTGGCCTCGAACTTGCCCTTGGCGTACTTGTAGGCGGACACGTCGTAGCAGTCGAGCTCGACGACGCGGCAGCCTAAACGGAGCACGCGGCTCACGGCGTCGGGCGAGCTGCTCGACGTGAGCTGGTCGCCGTTGAGGTAGGTGTTGTGCGACGAGTTGATGTAGTAGTGCGTCAGCGGGAGCGACATGTCCGCGTCGCCCCGCGGCCGCAGCGCCGCCTTGCGGATCGCCTTCATGGCGTTCTGGTAGGCGTGGCCCTTGAGGCGCTCCTTCTCCTTGGCCATGCGGCCCTCGAAGGACATGAACTGGCCCATGGCGCCGGCCGGGAACGGGCGCAAACGCCGCGAAACTCGCGCTCGGCCGGTCGGGAACGGGCACCGCCGCCGGCTCCTCTCGCTCGACTGGTCGGGCTGCTTTATTATTTGTGGCTGGGTTGAATAGAATGCCGAGTTTATGTTGCTGTTGAAGTTTTTGAGTTATTGGCTCTGCGCGCAAGACGACCGTGCCGGCTTTCAGATGCAACAAGAATTTTGCAAATCGGTGGCCATGGCGCCGAGATAGAGCTTGCCAAAGGTGCCCATCACCACTGGCGGAGCCCTCTTTGCCATCGATTTTCTCGAAAGCGTATCACGCCATTCGACTCGGGATCTTAAACAACCCAGCCACATTTTGCGAATCTGCTCTGCTCTGCAACGATACTTGATGCTTGCCTTTGCCGTCCGCTGCCGGCCTCTCGACGCGACGCTGTGCGGGGCAGCCCCATGGTGCGGCGCGCGGTCCTCGTCGCGGCCCTCGCGGCCATCGCCGCGGAGGACGCCGGCTCCGGCGCGGCGCCGGAGCCCGGCGGGCCCGGCGCGTCGACGACGACCTTCGAGGCGCTCGACGCGCGCGCGGAGATCTTGTTCCCCGAGGAGGGGTCGACGCTGGCGCAGGACTGGTTCGAGGTGGGCATCAACGTCTTCACGCCCGAGCCCGAGGCCTTCGGGGACCTCTTCGCCGGCTGCCAGGTCTGCGCGCGCCTGGACGGCAAGCCCTACGCGTGCTGGCCCATCTTCGAGATGGAGTACGCGCCGCTCTTCGTCAACGTCGGCCCGGGCGCCCACGAGCTCGAGGCCGTGCTCAGCGACCCGCGGAGCCGGCACCGCGCGTCGCCCCTGCCGCGGACCTGGAGCGGCCTCCGGCGCTTCACGGTGTCGGACCCGGCGGAGGCGCCCGCGGACGCCGTCGAGCCCGCGGCGCCCGCGGAC